TGCAACACCAGCAATTTGATAAGCAGCTTGCATTCCAACTGATCGATTTAATCCACCACCCAAACATTTTGGTGTTAAATTTTCGTGATAAAGTGATCTGGATGGTATACTAGTAAGTACAATACTAGCTATAGCAGATAGAACACCTGGCATTCCATGTAGATTATGTACACCACATGTATCATGAATATTAATACGTTTCAATAATTCTAATAAATATTTATAACCTAAAGTTGATATTGTTCCAGCAACACTTCCAATAATCATTGCTCCAAATAATCCAATATCTTTATCAGCTACTGCTCCAACAGCAACACCACCAGCTAATGTTGCATTTTGTATATGAATAATTTCTTCTTTACCTTTTCCAACAAGTGCTGAGACAACAAAAGTTAATATAACTGATGCACTTATACTAATATATGTATTAGTAATAGCACGTAATCTTCCATCACCAAATGCAGTACCAGCATTGAAAGATGGCCAAAAACAAAATAAAAATAATGTACCAATCATGGAAAAGATATCCGATGCATAACTTGAACTTTCTTTTTCAGATTCAACTGTTCTTTTACGTTGAAGTGCATAGGATGCAGCTAAACCAAAATAAGCACCAAATATATGAACAAATATTGATCTAAATTAAAAAAAAAATATTTGATTTCTTTTCTCTTTCTATTGAAGAAAATATTCTTACTCTCCAGCATCATAAGTACAGAAATATGTTACTCCAATATATTCGTTCCATACTTGAATAACAACTTCAATTAATGCAAGAACAACTAATTGAGCTGGATTGGTTTTTCCTAGAACAGCACCAAATGAGATTAAGATTGCTGCACAAACGAAATCAGCATGAAGAAGACTTGTAACATCAACAGGAAATTTATTTTTAACATCATCCCAATCAAAAACATAACCACGAATTAACATAGCCCATTCTAAGACAAAAGCAGCAACTAAGAAATTAAATGATACTGATGAAAATGAATAACGACGTAGAAAAGTCATTAAAAAACCAAAACCAATAAACATCATAACATGAACATCTTGAAACATTGAATAATAAAATTCCACATTACTTCTTGGTGGTGCAACATTAGATGAAACATCATAAGCGGCGGTTCCATTAGCTTCTACTGCTAATCCATAATCAGCATGAAATGCATATAATATAATAAATGCACATTGAAATACAACTAAACCAATTGGAAACATATATTGTCTTGTCCACTGAGTGGCCATTTCTCGGATATCTTCAAGAGCCATCTTAACGATTATTTTTCTTTATAACAAATAAATTCGGTAACAGACAATCGTTACTTATTAATCGTATGAATATTTGTTTGTATAATAACAGATAATCGTCTGTATTTATATTTGATTTTTAATGTAGGAGTGTCATTTATTTTTCTCGAAGAAAGAAATATTCATAACCTATTGTGTTTTTGATCGATAAATGTCGTTTTTTTTCGTTCTCTTGTTACAAGGCCTGTCGCTAACAATCTAGGTTTACAATTATATTCAAGAACAAAAAAAAACAAACGAAAAAAAAATCTATCTAATATGTAAATGGATATTGTTATATAAAAGTGTCAAATCATAATTATTAGCTAATAGAAAAGTGAATCCGTCATATCGATTATAAAAATTACAAAACAAAGAAATACTTTTTATATGATTAATTATTACTAAGCCTTTTCTTCCTTTTCTCTTGTTTCTATTCAAAATAAATTATTTCTTTCACAATATTATTCATTTAACAAACTAGAAAATTATAATTATTTTATTTTATAAAAGACTTTGAATTAGATACAATCGTCTTAAGAATAGATTGTAACAAGTTCTAATTGATTAGTTTATTTTGATTTCTATAAAACCTTCTTATTAGATTGAATGATTAGAAAATCTATTTCAAATATTTTTATATAAATTAAATAAAATAAAAGCAGACAAATACATTATGTACGAAATGATACAATACGATATATGACAAAATAAATTATTCCAGTCATATCAAGAACAAATCACAATCATCGATGACAAACGAAAACATATACTAATTAAATGTCGATTAGATGTTTTTAATAAATTTTAAATAAATAAATCTAATATAACGAGTCATAGAAAAGTCTATGCAAAATACTTCTATTTAACTATATATAAAGAAAATATCTACCATGTAATGGGTCATATCCTTAGATTATATTTTCTATCAGATAGTAGAAGAAGAAGAGATATTCAAAAAATAGTAAAATATCAATTTCTTCTATTGCAGTTATTTTTCATATTGCATTTTATTCTCATTTGAAGATAATACATGATTAAAAGAATTAGAAATAAGTAATTAATGTTTTCAACGTATATTGGAAATAAATATTTTTTTGTTTTCGTAAACTATGTCGTAGATAATGAAAATTTTTTGCATCATCGATTATATTTTGTATAGGTCAATAGGATAATTTGTTTTGAAAATAATCGAATAAGATGAGTAAGTAGTTAGAATATTTATTTGACTGTTAATTTGAAATCGATTAGATAATTGCATATTAAATATGATTAAGAAATCTTCTTCTTCTTCTTCTTCTTCTTCGAGAAAGAAATGTCGTCGTACTATTTCATTTGATTAGATTTCAAAGTATCATCGTTAAAATCTATCAAGCGAATAAAATACGTCAAATGTCAATGATCATAATCGATTTTTT